TATTTTATTTTACATGTTCAAACAAAGAAACAGAAAAACAAATCGAAAGTAATTGTTGATCCAACGGAAAAATAAATGTTTTTACTTCTGGCTTCAATCAGCTGTGATTTGTATATGATAGCAACGAGTTTGCATGTTCCGCACTTGTGTATTTGTTTAGTGCTGCAGTTAAATTTGATTGTTTCTTCTGGGTTGACAATAATAAAGATTTCCGCGTGTATATTCGGTTTCATTTCATTGATTACAAGTAATTTTAAGTCGTGGAATATTGTAAACCTGTTTAAAATATGTCCACACATAAATTAACAATCTCAATAACCTCTTACGAATATATAAATGAAATTAGACTTGTCCAAGTCAATGTGCCTTCATTACTTTTTGAAAAGAATCATTACAGACTGTAATTGTAATTTTTATTATGACAAAACCAACTTTGACTAGGGGTTCACTAAACTCATTGTTTCATAATCGAACTTTGTTTGGTGAGCCGACGGCGTGGTTGGATACAAATATATCCATTCAAACTAGTTTTTTTGTTAATTATAATTAATTTAAAAAAAAATTGGTATGATTAGGTTTAGTGGAATTTTGAGTTTCTACTAAAAAATAATATTTAAAATAAAATAATTAAAGTTGATTTGATGTAAAAATAAGAGAGATATAATGGGAAGTGATGGTTAATTAAAATTATCTGAGTGAATGAACAGTAAATTATGTAAGAATGATAGTTTGGTATTATCTAATTAGAGTAATGCTATAAGTACATAATATTGTACATAGAAGTGTACATAACACTCACATTGAGTGGGTCCAACTAAAAAATAAAAAATCAAGTGAACCCCACCCATGTGAGTGTTATGTACAACTCTATGTACATTTATTATGTACATCTAGCATTTTCCATCTAATTATATTGATAATATTGAAGATAGTTGAGTTCAATTAATATTGAGTTAGATTTTAAGTATGAATAGAAAAAATTTATACACAAACACCCCCTAAAATGTTCCTACTATAAATGAACCCATTCCTCTCTTTATTTTATTTCCCTTTCCTACTTTTTTTTTCTTTTTAATTAGTATTGCTAATAAAAATTGGAATAAAAAGTTGACTTGTTTGTTTATTTGCAAATTGATGTTAAATTAACAGATTGGACATCACTATAGATTTGAACAATCGAATCCGCTAATTAGCATGTTTGGTTGAGCTTATTTAATTTGCATTTTGGATCCAAAACGCTATTCTAAAAAGGCTCAAAAGAACAAATTTTTAAAAATATATAAGTTAAAAAAAAATAAAATATAATGTATCAACTATGAATTTTCTCTATTTATCAACCACTTATTTGACAAAACTAGTGCGTGGCCAGTGCGATGCACGAGAAAACAATATTACGATTGTATTATAAATTTAATATATAAATAACATTAATAATGATTTATCCATTGTTTGTAAATTAAACCGGGTTGGACACAGTTCGACCGGATGGACCGAGAACTGGTTTTTAACTTGTCTAGTTCGCTTGAATAAAATATTTGTTCTTGGATCTGTCAACACCAGTCAGTTGAACTGGTAGGATCGATAAGATTTTCTAAATAAATTTTTTTATATTTAAAATTATTTTAAATAAAATAGAGATTCATAAATTATTTATCAATTAGGCTAAACATTTGAATTTATAAATTGTTTAGATATCTAAGTAACACATTTTATATAAACTAGTAAAGTGCACGTGCATCGCACGTGGTGGCGAATGGTTTTTGCCGATTAAATATAGTAAAATAAATTAATTAATTTATTAAACATATCATTGCATAAACGAAGTAAAATATAGAACAAATGAGCTTCTAGTAGTAAAATATAGAACAAATGAGCTTCTAATAAATGACATATTACAACCCCAACAAAAATATATTCCCTAATGAAAAAAAAAAACAGTAAATAACTAAATAAAAAGAATGATTTTCTTTCATTTTGGTTTTGACATTTTCATAAGAAACATTCATACTCGTTGGAGCCCAGTACATCAATAGTGTTGCAAAATTATTCTTAATTCATTTGGCAAAGTCTACTTTATTCAAATACTTATAAATGGAAATATTCTGGCCAAATCAAACTTCATGATTGTATGATCTTTATAAGGTATTTCTACTGACAGTTCATGAATATCTTTGTAAAATAACCAACTGTATGATTAAATTGTTGACATTTTTTTTTATCATTTTATAAACTACTTCATTACTATGTCCATATATATAGACAAATCGACCCCTACCCCATGGAGACACTGTCCCATGGGGTGAGAATGAATTTCATCTCGAAATAAAATTTAACTTTCAAAATCTTGGCTACATGTACTTCTCCCGAGACACTAAATTACTTTTTGAAATCATCATATTACATGAAAGTATGTATTGTAAAGTAATTGCACATATGTTCGAGCAAGTACACAATGAAATTGTAAATATTCTTATAAAAAAAGGACAATTTCATTCAAACATTCAAGAATGTTTTGATCAAGCTTCGACATTTTTTTTCAATGTTATTATTTGAAAGACAAACGAACTATACAATCTACTTTTTGCAGATCATTGATTATCTTAGTTGCTGCAATGATTTTAGCGTTGTTTATCATAATATCTTTCACATTCATTCGAATTTGCAGTACTTATGTGGCTAATAACTTTTTTTAATGCTTTATTGATTTATTTGAATCATACATAATGCTTCGAAAATTCAAGATAAAGATTCTTTCTTGGACAAAAAAAATAATAATAAAAAAACAATGAGACAATATTAAGAAACATATCATTTGTTAAATATTTGAAAAAAGAAGAATTATAATTCTATTCTATTATGATACTCTTAGTCTCTCTGTGAATTTTATTATTACGAAGTTATTATAAAAATTTACGTTATGTATAACAAAATTTTTATTATTTTAATTATATTTAAAAATCTTGATAATATAGGATCATTATTTATGAGAACTAGTTTCTTACATAGTTCATATATTTAGACGCTAGCAAAAAAAATTAGTAATTTTAAAAGGCTTTGTTTCTAGATATTGGTATTCATATTTTTCTAAGAAAATTCAAACTTTTTCTTTTCCCATTGAATTACTATTTCATTTTATTTGTTTCTTATTCAATTCACAAATAATATTTATTTGTTAAAAGAATTAGAGCACATTTAAATGTATTGCGGCTATTTTATATAATGACGTTGTAATCAAAATATCTTATTTATTAGGCTACAGCAAATATAATGAAATACGGTAAATACTATTTAATATTACTTATTTATTTAGTTATAATAATAATATATTTGACAAAAATGTACTTTTATACTGGTTAGACGATTAAAAAGTTTAGGATTTTTTCCATTGTTTGATAAAAATTTAAGTAATTAACTCATTTCCGTATTCATTGAAACGATATGTTCTATGTTACAACATTATGGTGTTCCTTTCATGCAGTAACTGAATAATTGTTTAAAATACAACTCATTTATTTCTCCTTTTAATTCACATAGTTAACGTTGGTAATAGTTGTAAGTTTACATCTATTTTGTACGTTTTTTGTTATTTGTATGAATATTTCAAATCTATGTAAGCAAAATATAACACATGTTTATCTTATGTTTTATTTTCATACATAATAAAATTTGTTTAACATAGATTTATAATTTATTTTATAAAATACTTTTAGGTCCATTTATTATTCTTAATTAGTATTGATATATATATATATATATATATATGTATATATATTATTTTATATCGATAGAAATAAGTATATTATTTTTATTTTATTTACAACACATTGGTCCAATTAAACATCATTGTAAAGAAATAATGTGATATATTACGTATAGAAAGGGTAACAAATAAAAAAATATTAAGTATTTCAAAATTAAAAATTTTAATGACAAACAGTAATTAAATCTGTAGCTGAAAAAAATTATGATTGCCTAGTCTTACATTTTTATTACGTAGAACATCATTCTTACAACTTGTTTAGTTACTATAATACTAATAAAATAAATAAAGACTTTTCAACGTAGATGTATCTTGTTTGTTTTGAAAAAAATACTAATTGTCATAAATCAAATGAAAATTACATTAAATGCATTATATTTTCTATCATTATCAACAATTTTCATAATAATTAGTTGCACGTAATATTATATATAATGTAAATTTTTCTATTGATTTAAAACCCTACTTTTACTAAAAGAAAAATGATGAAATTTCAACAAAAATATATTACAATGGAATTTCAACGACACAGGCTCTCGTAGCAAAACATCTAGAATATGGTATCTAACAACAATAGTGGGAATATTTTTCATAATTTTAATCATGT